GAAACCCAACTAAGATGCGGCCGCTCCCGGGAATAAGAATTTTGGCGCGAGCAGAATCCGTAGGATTTGTGCTGTCTTTAAGGTCTTCAAGGAGTAGGTACACCTTGCCCCGTTTGGGGACTCGTGGCGGAGCCAGGGATCCGAACCATATGAGCTGCAGTCTAAACTCCATAAAGGGGGGTTCTATAGGGGGCTATATAGGGGAGTATTATAAGGATTACCAAGGAAAATACAAGGACTTTAGACTAGAGCTCATATATCAGATGTGCCAGTTCCCTGCCGCAGCTATCTGAGCTCGACCAGCATCGTGAGGGTAGGATGTCATGTTGCGGTCAGATGAGTTGCTCCTGTCCTTTATGGCATGTATGACGCGCTAAAATCAGGAAGCTTGTGAGAAACTGCGAAGGGCTGCTTAAGTCGTGTAGATGTTTGATTTTGATGACCTGGAGACAGCCGATGCTCAGCTTCAATCTTGGAGTGTCTCATTCAGGTTTCCTGTTGGCTGTTGGGTTCTTTTCAAGGTGCCCTTCGGTTGTCGCTCTAGCTGCTTTGAAGTTTACTGTAATGAGCTTTTGGATTTAATTGGCCATTCTCGGGAAGCTGGAAGAATGTTTCCCATGCGCCTTTTGCCAGTCCATGGACCTTTAGTACCATAGACCTTGGTACGGTACCCCGGTCACGCAGGAGTTTGAGTATCAACCGTAGTAGAAGGGAATATGACGCATTCGCATTAGCGGGGGCGTTGTTTCCCATCTCCAACAGCCTCCTTGCTCGAAGTCCTAAACCCTAAACCCAAAACCCTAAACCCTAATCTCAAAACTTCTGGCTCTGCCTTGTTCTAACGCACAATTCCTCCGCATCGTTACGGCGCAGGAAGCTCTTGGACTTCAAGATCTGTAGCACTCACCACCTCCAGCCATCAACTGCACCTCCCACCTCCAAATGAGTAGTATTTTATTTGGGGATGCTATGGTACCCAATATAGAGTTAGATTATATCCTCCTTTTGGGGTATAGTATTCTCCATAAGGAATACAATCTGGGTTCAACCACCAAAAAAATACTCAAATCTGCTTTATGAATTGTGTTGTGTTGGAAATATTCAGACATAGCGTGTGGGAGAGTGTTTGCCCGAAATCCTAACCCTACAATAACCCTCATATACCTGTATAAGAACTCTATAATTATTTTAATACGCTGGATACTAAAAATCCTGCATGACCCTAAGTACCTTATACCTTGGGAAAACTGGTACTATAGTATATTAAGGTCATGCAGTCATGCAGGATTTTTAGTATCAACAGTATTAGGGCTGAATGACTTATACCGGGTCCAAAGTCTCTTCCCAGGCCTGCTTCTGGGCTCCGCCTTTGGCCACCTCAGTCTCTGACTCCTTTTTGATTGTTTTTCTACGAAAGAGGGCTTAAGTGGGGAAGGTATTCCCGCCTCCCTGACCATGAACACCTCTCTACTCCTTTGTTCAACTTGCTTATTGAGTTTATTCGAAACCCAGACTTTTGGGTAGTTTTTTTTTTTTCCTTTCCGTTTTTCGTAGGGTTCGAGCAGCCTTTCATGTTGCAGGCAATGGATGAAGTGGCGAAGAGCGTGGGCTGTAAGTTCCCTCAATCCAACATCCAAAAGTCACACTCCATATACATCCTGAGGCCCTAACCCTAAATCCTTGCAATGAGTCAGGATCCTCCACCGGATCCTGAGGAGGTCCCGACAAGCTTTTTCATCCTAGTCTGGCAGAGGGTTGTGGTTAAGGGGTAGGAGGGCTGCCATGGCATTCGTGATCTTAGTCTGCCATGCTGTTTCGCCTTGGCTGCGAACCTTCAAGGCTAGAGAAGGTAACCTTTTGTTGCTTTCTTCAACAAGCTGGTTACATGACTCCCGGTTGGTCAAGCGACGTCTCCACTTATCTCCAGCTCCAACTGGATCAGACTTAGAGCGAGGAGCGCCGATACCCGAATTTGGATTGGAGTCTTCCTAGTGTGAGAGTTTCCCAAAACTTGAGTTTATTTGTCGGAAGTCAGGGCCTTCGTCTGCTCCAATGTTCAATGGGTGAGAGAGATTCTCAAACTCGGTGCTTGAGTGGCGCAGCGAGGGAGTGGATCCTTTTAAGAGCCCTGACATACCCTTCATATCTTCCCCTTTCATAGTACTCTTATTCGCTCCCCAACTCCGCGTGGGCACCAGCAAGTAAAACGTGAAGCTTGACTCAAGACTTGGCAGATAGTCAGAGAGCCATGCTCCAGTTGAAGCTTCAACAGAGGCTGAGTACTGATTTGGAAGGAGGGGTTCTCCCTCGTTTAAGTTCTGCAGCCACGAAATCAAGCACGAAATCAAGAGTGCAAAAACAACTTCGAATAATGGAACGTCAGAAGCTGGAATGGAAACTGGGACTATATAGCTATAGCGGCTTACTCAAGTCGGATCCCTCTTACGGGCTCTTTCTTGGCTGATTTTGAGAGTCCCTGCAGAGATGTCGGCAGGAGACAGCGCAGGCCGCGGCCGAGGCAGCACTGGGTCTCCGGGACGAGGCAGATGGGAATCTCTCCAGATAGGGGCCTTCAGGGTCCCAGGGATAGATAGGAGTTGTAAAGGGATTACGAGGGTCCCTGTGAGAGATGCTACGCAGGCAGTTTTGGGACAGTCTCAAATCATCATCGTTGTTTTTGTAAGCCACATATCACTATCATTCTGGTTATGATGATTTTCTTGGACATTGTTGCTTGTCTTGTGAGTGCTGTGGCTCACGTTGAGTAGCAGTTTCCTTTCAACTTGAAATGGTTGTGCAGCGAATACTTTATATTCTGTTGATTCATTGCTCTGCAACAGGAGATTTATTTTTAAAGGACTAAAGCCTTGCCGTTGCTGACAATCTCTCCTTGCCTTGTTGTTCTTGTTGTCACCTGTTGGCTGGTGAGGTAAGCACTACGCCGTATGGGCCTCATGATATCAGTACATTGCTTGAACTGTTGACACCGGAGACTACAGCCAGTATGCTGATTACTGCTAATATTCGAAACCCCAAGCACCAAAACCTGGGTTGCTGTTAAAGAACCTAAATTAAGTTACCATAATGGGTATATACAGCAAATAATAGGGTTTCCCCAATATAGTAGCTTAATTTAAGTTCCTTAACAGCAACCCAGAAACCTAAGCCAGGTTGGGTGCTTGATTTTGACAAACACACCAAGCCCAGGCTTTTCCACAATCCCCTTGTACACCGAAATTTGCTTACTGGTGGTTTAGGGGGAATGGAAAAGAACATGGACATTTCTGTATCATCTGGGGTGAGGTTTTAGGGTGGTCAGTAGGGAAGGAAGGAGTGGGCCTTGAAGGATTTTTATGGGGACTACGATCCGGATCAATTTCCCCCTTCCCTACTAACCACCAGTAATTTGGCGGTTGAAGGCTTGTTTGGGTGGATCTATTGTAGGGTGCACATTTCTGTTGTTCAGACATCTTCAGCGGCCTTCTTTCTTCCAGAGCTCAAAGAGATGAATTGTTGCACACGGGCAGGATGGGGTGGTGTTGTAAGGGGGAAGGCGTGCCCCCAAGAGTCTGAAAACCTTGAGCGCCCCAAACCTTGAAGCCCCAAACCTCAAGGCCGTGAACCCCGAGCCTCGAACTTGTAGTCCCCCTGAAGTAGATAGAATATGGGGTATATGGGGATCTCATTATAGTATACCCAAAGCCATATTGTATCTACCTAAGGGG